AATCCAGTTTCTTGGATTATTTGCTCAGCATACAGATTGACTTAGCATGGTGAAAGAATACAACTCTGACACACACCTCTCCTAAATTTAAACCTTTCAGTGTTCCCCTATTGTTTTTGAACAACTGCCTCTTGAAATATGTACAGGATCCTCATGAGCACAATTAAGTGTTCTGGAACACTCATACTTCACAATGTTGTCCATAGTTTGTCATGATCCACACAATCAAAAGCCTGAGGGACATTGTATAGGGTTTCTGAGGTGTGGCTGGTGAGCTTGAACCTCTGACCTTGCAGTACAGTGTATTATCCTGCAGCACTAGAAAACTAGTTAGTCAATATACTGATTTTGTTTTCTGTTTCTCAGTCATGATTTTTTGGCTATTAACTTTGTAATTTCAGCCCTGAGTGATTGCTAAAAGCTATATCATAATCTATGCTTGGAGTCCTGGTGTGGTGCTGTAGGGTAAGCACTGGACTTCAACATCAGTGAATCATAGGATCCACATTTCACACTCATCAGCTGCTCCTCAGAAACTCTATACAGTATGCTACCTTGAAGAATAATGAGGAAGTTGCATGCCACCACATAACATGGATGAACTTTGAGGACATTATGATGAGTAAAATTAGTCAGTCACAAAAGGACAAATATTGCATCATTAAAGCTTAAGAAAAGATACCCATACTAAAAAGAAATCTTTTCTTGTACCAGGGAGAGGGAGAAAACAGGGTAGGGAATAGACACATCATAGTTTGGGTGTTAGGGAGGGAAATATACAAGAAGGGGGAGGGAAATGGAAGAACAAGGTAGATAGGGGAACACTGAGGCTGGTTTGCATGGGTAAAATGGGACAGAGGTAAATAGTGATGTATGCACAACCTTGGAGCAACAGGACTCTGTAATACAGGGATCAAAGCATAGTCTGAATGGGTAAAAGAGGAGAAATAATGTAAGATGTTTGACTGTCTTATGAATATTGGTTTCCCTTTGCCTACTATTGTAAAATAGACACTTGAGTGGGATAGGGAATATCAGGAAACATCATTACAGGAAGCTTGTAAGTCTGTCTTCAGCCTATAACTGATTGGAATACCTAAAAGGGGTTCTAGATCTTGCCCAGTGAAATAGGTTTCCTGTGGAGGCTTTGTAATGTAAAGGACCTTAGATAGAACCCTGATCCCCATCCAGAACCTTCTGAGGTGGAACATTTCCACTTAAAAGGACAAGCAGACTAGCCTGGAGTAGCTAGAGGAACAGAAGATACTTCTTGAAAGAAATATAAGCAGGAAAAATCCAAAACAAAAGTAGCAGTCTGATTCACTACTACAAAAACAAGCAAGTTGTTCATCGGGGAACCATCAGGACAAGCAATCAAGTCCCTTCAGGACAAACTGCTCTCCAAGACTGAAACTCAAAGAGAACACATGTGCAGGCATATAAGCTTTCTAGAGACCACTTTGGTCTACTGGTGAGTGGAAGAGGGGGAAAGGCAGCAATGAAGATATGGGCTGAGTTCGACCACATTCCATAGATTCCCATCGACCTGGAGATGAGTGAAAGAAAGGAAGAGCTGGTTGGTCCGAAGTGTGGTGAGACTTGGGGATGCCATAACTGTGGAGGGCTAGAGCTGAGAGCAAATCATCCAGTTGATATGAAGTGAGGAGAGATGCACAAGAATGCTAAACTTGTAGATAGTGTCCATTCAACCTAGCTTTGATTGCTTAATGATAATAAATCAACTTGTTGTTGTTGTTAGATGCCATTGAGTCAGTACCGATTCATAGTGACCCAATGTACAAAAGAACAAAATACTGCCCAGTCCTGGGCCACCTCAGGCAACAATTGTTGCCATGCTTGAGCCCATGCTGACACTTTGCCAATCCATCTTGCTGGATTTTCCTCTTTTATTCTGACGCTCCACCTTAAACACTAGAGGGAGATGTTGTTGTTGTTGTTGTTATGTGCCGTGGAGTCGGTTCCGACTCATAGCGACCCTGCATAGGGTTTCCGAGGCTGTTAATCTTTACAGGAGCAGAACGCCTCATCTTTCTACCGTGGAGCAGCTAGTAATTTCGAACTGCTGACCTTGCCGTTCGCAGCTTGATTTGTAACCACTACGCTACCAGAGTTCCTTAAAAAAATAAATAAATAAAGGAAACAAGTGGAAATTGCTAAAATTTGATGAACTTGACCTGTACTTATGTATGTAGTAGCTCAAAAAACCATCTTAGAAGGAAGGATTCTTCACATCAAATATCAATTTTGTCCCATCTGTATACAGGTTTGGTAGGGACAAGCATCTTAGAAATTGG